CCTGTGTCCTCATTTTACCAACCTCGGAAGGATGGAAGACTGAGTCAACCCTGAGCCGGTGAGATTTCAACTGCTGACCTGCTGATCTAGCAGTAGCCTGCAGTGCTGCATTTAACCACTGCTACCAGTTCAACACACAGGAATTTTACACAATAGAAAGCAAATTTAAAGTATCCATAGTTATGAATACAAGCTTCCTGTCCATTGAAATAACAAAGCAACCCAATAAAAAGAAAAAAATGGGGCTGACAGATTAAAATGCTCCTGATAATCGATCTATCTTTGATAACTTCCTATATGCCAGGGCTGTCAAACTCCCGGCCTGCGGGCCAGATTCGCCATGCGTTGGCCACACTGATGCCTGGTTTAGCGAAGGGGGGGGGAGTCCAGATGCGTCACGTGTCACCGCTATGACAACCTGAGTTTGACACCCCTGCTATGTGCACTCCAGGATGACAGCATTCTGATCTCTACAGGGAGACTTTTCTAGAAAACTGGTATTGTGACAATAGCTGTTGCTCTCTTTATGCTTTTTTTCTGGATCCACTGAGAAGCAATACCTCCTGCTTTATTTATGTTTTTCTCCGGATGGATCTAATAGATCAGAATAGTTCAGACTGGTACAGGAAAATCTCTTAAGTACACAAATGCTGATCCAAGAAAAAATTTTTATAGTTCACAACCAGCATCACCAATGGCATTAACATTGCAAGCCATTCAAAGTCTATGGGAATGGAACAGTGCATAAGTTATAATAAACACACAACACTTAAATTAGCATCGTACATGCTATCAATCACACTGTTAAGCACTTTTTATGATTTCAAAAATTTCCACCTATGGGCCACTAAATGAGCAAGTTTGATATTCAGGAAATTAATACTACGATGTATATTATATCATTAAGAATATTTTCATTTTAACATTTTCAGATTGTTTGTTTTTTGTTATAATTTTGGAAACTTTGTTCTCATCTTTGAAAAGATGAGATTGCATTATTGGTCTTCTATCTGTTACATATCTTTATATTTTAGGTTACCCAGGAAAATATTTATAATATAGCATATAAAGTATGGTTGAAAATGAATGCAGAGTGCTTACATTTAAAAAGTATTTTATATAAATGCATTGCTTCACATATTCATATTATTGAAAATCTTTACAAGCCAATAGATAAGAAAGCATAATGTACAATAAATTGACAAAAAAATACTATTTTCTAAAATTGTACTAATTTATTCCTTTGAAAAAAATCAAAGCACAGTTAGCAAATTTCCATTTAGAAATTTGGAACAATAGCTTTGCTAAGCATTAAATTTTTGGTGATTATTCACTGACCCTAGCATAAGATATATAAAAGATAGAAATCATAAAAAAACATCAAGAGCTACAGCAAATACCGGTAGTTCTCAACTTACAAAAGCTCATTTAGTGACCAAAGTTACAATGGCACTGAAAAAAGTGACTTATGACTGTTTTTCACACTTATGACCATTGCAACATCCCCATGGTTATGTGATTAAAATTCAGACACTTGGCAACTGATGCATATTTATAACGGTTGAAGGATCCTGGGGTCATGTGATTCCCTTTTGCAACCTTCCGAAAAGCAAAGCCAACAGGGAAGCCAGATTTACTCAACAACCTTGTTACTAACTTAATCACTGCAGTGATTCACTTAACAAGTGGCAAGAGAGGTTGTAAAATGGGGCAAAAACCCACTTAACAAAAGTCTCAGCAACAGAAATGTTGGACTCAATTGTGGTCATAAGTTGAAGAATACTTATACTTTGGAACTTCCAAAAAGCTTTCTTTACAAATAAAAGACTTACACTTTGATCCCAATAACCAAGTCTGATAACTTACCATTGGGTGGTTCTGTGCTGTTTTCAGCAAGGATAGTGGAAGCTGTAATAGAGAAAGTTCAACAGCTTGAGAAACATACCCAGGGTATAAATAAGCTGTCACAGCAATTTCATCTTGTAGGGGTTTTTTTTACAATATTTTTTGTCCCTCTTGTCAGGAGACAGCCTCACACAAGTAGAAACAGCATGTTTCATCCCCTCCTGATTTCAAGTTCCTACCAGAAAAATTCATCTGGATCAAAAACCATCTTCTTATTGTAGTCTATTCCCATTATGGTTCACAAAGCACCTCCAACAACAGCATCAGCAACAGAACGGAAAGATAATTGCCTTGTTTTATTGTGTGTTCATGAGCAGCACATCATTTCCAAATGAACTCTCTGAAGATCAAGGTTTTCATGGCCAACAACCACTGACAAATTCTTAGAATTTAATTGAGGTATTTTAAGATGGAAATAAGTTTCAACCAAGCCCTCAACTCTAATGTTTATGAAGAAAAGATCACTTCACCACTTTTCTTTAAGCAGCTAAAGAGTTGTCCATAAACTAGCAGATCATGCCTTTCACTGCCAAATTCAGTTAGCCATAATGGTATTAATCCAATAATCATTTTTATATTTTGAAAAGTAGGTCAACATACTCAGTTTTTAAAAACATATTGAAAGAAGTCAAATTAAGAATGATGGACTGAGCAAAATTGCATTTAATCCCACATCAATAGTATTTCCTTGCCCAACAGATCAAAATTGCATTTAATCCCACATCATAAACAGATGACGATGTGAAGCTTTACAAACACCAACATCATCTTGCTCATGCTAAAGCAAAATATATTTCCAGGAAAATCCTTCAATTATCTTCACAGTAATCGAGTAATATTAGCAGATTCTCTAAAGCCTAACAAGACGTAGAGTAACACTAATTTTAGATGCTTTCAACATATCTCTAAGAGACATTTCTTCCAGTCAAGGCTTTATACTTATAAAAAGCAGCACTATTAAAAAAAACAGCTATATGAATTAAATACAAATTAAAAGTTGAAATATCTACAGCTTAATAACATTTCATTTTCCTGGTTCATGCAAAAACTCCTCTCTCACGAAACAAGCTCCCCCCCCCAACCAATTCTTTACCCTGCTTTAGTTCTACAAATACTAACACAGGCTCCAACTACACAACTCATTGCTACTACTCCGTGAGTCTTACTCACGAAGTAAGCAACAGCATAGCCACATTTTACAAAGGGGAGATCCTATATTCACGCCTAGAGAGCAAGGCAGGACCCTACAAAAGTATCCTTAAAGTAAACGGTGCTGGGATAAGTAGCCCCAATTATCCTTAAGTAACAGCGAGGCTCATTAAAGTTTAATTCGTATTCTTAAGCCTTGGTCTTAAACAGAAATAGTTTTCCCTCCCTTTCCCCCCATTCGCAAGTCTCACCATCCTTCTATCTGCGATGCCACCAGCAACGTCAACTTCCACTTCCGCCTGCCGGACTTCCGCCCGCCTTAAGCCAAGACTCAGTTCTATAGCCAATCAGCATATAGTGCCGGACGTCCAATGAGAAGCTTCCGTCCAGGCTCTTGAAATTCAACCCTAAAGGAGACGTACAGTATTTTATAGCTACTGTAGCGCATGCCTCGCGGGAGGGAGGGAGGGAGGGAGGGAGGGAGGGGTGAGGAAAGGAGGATAATACCCAGAATGCAACGCAAGTCATAACTACGGTAGGAACTTCTGTTTCCATCTGAGGAATGATGTGCGCTTGCGCGCCAGGGCTTATCCTATACATGTGCAATATTATTTTTTTTTGTGTGGAGAGTGCCTGTTTTTTCAAGCAGAACGTTTGTTTAACTTTAACTTTAATTTATTTTATTTATTTATTTGATTTTATTTATCAACAAGTACAAGGATACAAGTACAAGTACAAGTACATGAAAAATGGCACAAATAAATAGATATAAATAAGCAAAACATAGCCATAAACACATAAAAAGAGTACATATAAATGGGGCAATAGGGCAGGGACGGTAGGCACGCTGGTGCGCTTATGCACGCCCCCTTAGGGACCTCTTAAGAAAGACGTAAGGTCCACAGTAGACAGCTTAAGGCAGGGGTGCCCAAACTTGGGAACTTTAAGACTTGTGGACTTCAACTCCCAGAATTCCCCAGCCAGCTGGCTGGGGAATTCTGGGAGTTTGTTGAAAGAAATGTCCTTCTGGGTTCGGCTCCAAGTGGGGAAAAAGACACTGGAGACATGGAGGCTGCTTGGAAATATGGTTTATCGGTGGACAGGCCTACATGGCTTGAGCCCTGGACAGAAAAGGGGGATCATATGCTTCAATGTTGGTGGAGAAGAAGAGAAGGGCTGAGGAAGGGGCTTGCTAGGCTTTTTATAACCTGTTCAGTCCCACCTCTCTGTTTCCTGTTCCTGTGTAAGAAATGTATTCTGATTGGTTGTCAGACTCCCATGGGGCCATGCAGGGGCAACTCTNTTACAGGGCTAATCCTGTAAGGAAGGCAGGAAGGAAACATTCTGGTGTTGTTTCTAGCCTAATCTTTATTGCCCTGCTTACAAAAACTGCCTCTCGGGTTAACCCTTATTACATTGTAACAGCTAAAGCGAAGCACCCATCAATGTGAGTGATGTTGAATTGGCCATGCCCACCCAGTAACATGACCACCAAGCCCCACCTACCCTGCTGGTCATTAGGGCAGAGAACCGGCTGTTAAATTATTTGAATCCCACCACTGGTTCAGTTCCAATTCAAGGTGGAAGGTGTCACCTTTAAAGACTTGCATGCCTCCAAATTGAATCTAGCTATCAAATAGGGCAGTGACGGCTAACCTTTTTGTCCTTGGGTGCTGAAAGCGTGCATGCACGCATGACAGCATGTGCGCACACCCATAATACAATGGATGCACGACACCATCACCCCACGCTCCCCACCTCCTGCGCATGTGCATGCAACCCTTGTGCTCTCCCCACACATGTCTGCATGACCCCTCCGCATCCCGTTTTGGGTGTAGCAGGCTTCTCTGAAGCCTCCTGGGATCAAAAATGGGATGTGGGGGTGCACTGCCCCCCCCCTGCATGCCTACACTGTTACAGGTGTTGTCTGCCTTGTATGTAGCTTTATTCCTCTCTAGCATCCATCTCCATTGTTCAGTGATACATTTCCTGCCTCTCTAGGATTTACCTCAATCTGCTCCTGTGAGGCACTTTCTGTTGGATGTATATAGTTATATTCTTGATGGCTTGTATAGTGTTTTAACTGCATTTTGATTAAACAGCATGCGCTGCAAAACCCCCAAAATCAGCTGGCCAGTAGGAAGTACGTGCGAGGTGGAGCTCAGCTGGGGCGACAGCTTGCATGCCAGCAGAGGGGCCTCCGCGTACCACCTGTGGCAAGCGTGCCATAGGTTTGCCATCACGGGAATAGGGGACTCATGGGGGGAACTCAACACTGGAGGAATGCCATCTTGAAGGGCTTTGGCCTTGAGCTTGCTCAACGATGGCTTTCCTCCTTTGGGACAGTCGCCTCTCAGATATCCAGACCATCTCATCTTTCCTCTATTTTCTGACATCATTAAACATATGTGTCTTCCAAAAGGCAGAGGAGATGAGTAAGATCATGCTCCACTTGACCATCTGTGCATCATATAGACTTCATTATAATTAAGATCAAAAACAAAGATACATTATCACATTATAATTATCTTCTGCTACCAATAGCAGTAGACTTATATACCGCTTCATAGGGCTTTCAGCCCTCTCTAAGTGGTTTACAGAGAGTCAGCATATTGCCCCCAACAATCTGGG